AGAGAAAGATACAGAGCAATGAGAGAGAAATATTTGCTTGATTTAAGGAAAAGATTTGAGGGAATTAAATTTTGGAATATCAATTTTGGAAACTATAAATTTTAAGCAGTAAAAATATTTCAAAAGAGTAAATGTGGTACGTCAATAGTGTGAGACAGTTTAAGATAATGCAGTCCGTCGGATAATAACTTTTTTAATTACGAAAAGATCTGGACCGCTCATTGTCTCCAAAATTCAAAATCGTTATACTTTATTATACAGATAGACGCACACTTATATTTTATATTATAAGACTCCATAAGTTGCAATTGATTCTCTGACCAAAGCCATGAAACTCGCTATTTAGTAGATATAAGGTTTAGACCGTACAATACATTGTGCCCATGTTACGGGATGCGGAATTACATTTGAAGTACAAGGCATTACAAACCCATTTATAAAATATTCAATTACTCCAACCCCACATTACCTTAGCCTATAATGTATTATGTGGTTTACACCCAAGGATCATACACCAGTGATCCCACCTATATTACATTAACCCGTTTCCTTATCCACACACACTCACACACTCATACATAAGCATAGACACATAATATCTCGAATACAAACATATATCTAACGTTATTTACTAGGTACTCAAATAAGATTCCAAACTAACCTTCTACTTCTGCTTCTTTTCCAAACCAACCTTTATTTCTTGCCGTTTTCTCTCTATTTATTGATTTCCTACCAAAAAATAAACCGCCTTCCAATCATTCTTCATAGGTAACTATTCACTCATATAACGGTCAACCTCAATTGGTGCCCAATGTAGTTATTTCCTATTAGCATTCTTTTATGGTTCCCTCTTTTTTTAACCCATTTTATTCCCTAATCAACTTAATATAGTTAATAAAGGTTGTGCTTGTTATAAGTAAAAACTGAAGTCTGAAAGTTAAAAATTGAATACTAAATTTGTGAACTGTTTGCTATCCACTTAAATTTAATTATTGAATTAAATCAAACTGTTTGATAACTATACAGAGCTGATGTTTAAAAATAAATTAATTTTTAATTTTACCTTTCCACTCTTTAATTTAAAAATATTTATAAAATATGATTTTATCTAATAAAAAATGACAATTTATCAATTTAATTCATAACATAAATCATAATCACTATTATCATATTGTAGTCTACATTTAATATATGTGTGTGTGCACAATTTGTGCTAGTGTGTGGGTGGGTGGGTGGGTGGGTGTGTGGTGCTTGTTTTTGTGTGTGTGTCCAGTGAATGTTTATTTTTAGCAGGCAAATGGAGGGAAAAGAAGAAGAAGAAGAAAATAAAAAAAACCTGTCATTGTTGAATAAGAAAATTGACAAGGAAGATAGATTGGTTAAGAGTTTTGAAGAGAATACTAATTAGAATTTAAATAATATTTTAAAATATTTCGGGATATAATAATCTATTATAAATATTATTAAAGATAATTTTACTAAACACTTTTAACTTTTAGAATTAAATAAGCAATCTCCTACTTAATACTGTAGTCTATTTTAAAGGAGCACTTAACATACTAAAAGAGTTAATATTTTAGTTATCAAACAAGATTAATAAGTCTCAAATACATTCATTTAAGTGTTAAATTTATGTTAATAAACACACCCTAAGTAATGACATACATTTTACGAAATTATAAAATGACCCACATTCCACGACATAATAATAATAATTTTTTGAACTCGGGTTACCATAGGGAGAGAGAGTTTGTTAAGGAAAGTTTTGGGCAAGAACTTAAATTTTCAACAAAAAATATTTTGCTAATTTTTTAAAACGATGTGAACCAAGAAAATCTCAACATAAATTTATGTCTTTAAAAGATTTAAATTGTCCTGTCCTCTATTATATAGACTAGTTATTCCTTGTGTCTGAAACGACCGTGCAATACCAAAACATGTTCAAATCTACCAAAATCAACGAACAACAATCAAGTTTTCCACAAAAAAAACTATTAACTCCAACCAATACACATTAATACTAAAACCCAACAATTTTCAAATCAGTTAGATTAAAGTAAACAACTAATTCTCTAACAGGTAAATAACTGCATGTCTAGAAGCTCTGAACACTAACCACACCACTTCACAAATTTCATAAAAACAAAAATCAAACTCACACAAATCAAACCTTAGCTTAGGCTATGACAATGACAGGTCAGCAAAGTCATCAACAAACTCAAATAAGATGATCACGTCAATGTCAGAAAATGATTATTAGAATGTGCTACTGAAACAATACTACAAAAAGTTTGCCATCATGTAAAAAAACTCATAAAAACTATTCAAATTGATAACTTTATCCATAAACAACCCCTATAATTCAATGCAACCAATCAAACAGATGCAACATTACAACTAAATAGCATACATGCAAATCACAGAAGTACAAAGAAAGGCAAGGTAAAAGCATTTCTGTAGATTATAAGTAGTATCAACATGACACCATGGCCTACATCAAACCCATAAGCTTCATCAAACTAATAGCAAGTACAGGGTGCAAAAAAGATGAGTCACGCTTGACTCGTTGAAAAATTTCACCGAACACGTGGTGGGTGTGTACAAATTCAGTCCAATATAATATGAACACAGTCCAATGCTTAGGCAAATAAAGTAAAAAATCACCAAACCAATGAACCCAACTCCCACTGTCAGACAATCAAAGTCATATTTTCTGAGACCACTCAAATAGAGGTTTACACTCTTTTTAGGAGGTGTAATTAAGACGAGTCCAAATTGCACATAAGACAACTAATAAAGCAACATAAGTTTGTTAGCCACTTCTAAACACAATCAACGTTGATTACGTATTTATGTTTATAAAGATGAAAATCAGATTGGTGCAAAACCTACCAAAATGCTATTCCATCACCGTGACCCATGTCATCACAAACATCAGGTAAATTGCAAACGAGCTGCAACATTGAAAACCAAGATGACAGAAAAAAAAAAAATGGAAAACTCAACTTACTTCATCATCTGGCAACAAACAAAATCTAAGTTAAAAATGTCCGCCTAAAAAAAAAACTATAGAACTACAAATAAAAAAAAAAAAAAAAGAGCAAAAAAAGCACAATAGCAAAATCAAAAAGCAAATTGAGAATTTAACAAAATAGCAGCCATGTTACAAAGGAAAAATCAAATAAACAAAATAACATCCAAAATCACCTATAGAACTCCAAAAAGGCATACAGAGAAGAAAAATTCAGTCATTCAAACAACTAATCGACCAAACCTCATGAATTCAATTGAAGTAAAACATAGCTCGACCTAAGAAATCAAAGAATGCCCACCGTAAGATTGGCCTCCAATCAGTTGAGCAGTTAAGTTTCCTACACCTCTTTCTAGCTAAGCCATAAATGATCAAATCATGGCAAGAAAAATATTAGTCACAGAAAGATTAATTTGGGAAATGAAATGGTAAAATGACCAAACAAATGAGAAAGAAATGAACAAATGAAGTGGTTCAACTTCAGCAGAAATATTGAGCTAATAAGCCACACCAAATTACAGTCGGAACCAATTGTCTGGTCAGAGGCTCCATAACTCTGAGGAAATTCATCAAACACACGCTGGAGTTGGTTGGTGGCTTGTGGTTATGTTAGGTCGTGGGGGAGGAGGAAGGGGACCTTTTTGGTTGTAGCGTTGGTGGTTCTCATTCGAGCAAAGGGTAGGATTCTGAGATTGTGAAGAGGAGGAAAGAGCAACTGGGCTAAAAAGTGATGCTGAGAGAAAAGAGAAAGAGAGGGCCGTAGAAGGGAGGGGTGAGAAAGTAGAGAGTGAGGAAAGGGAGAAATAGCAGAGAAGTAAGAGAGAGAACAGAGGTAGGTGGGTGGGAGTGGAGAGAGATCACAGAGACAGAGAGAGAAGAAGAAGTAGACAGACGAGAGGAGAGGAGGCGTGAGAGAGAGAAGCCAGAGAATCTGCCCCCTTATATTTTGAGCATACATACAAACACATCATAAATAACAATTGACATACATGCATATGTATTTATTGCATCAGGAATGGTGATTGTATACTCAAAAAGATATATGGTTTTTCCTACAACAAAATAATTATCAACAAAATCACAATCAAACAGTCTCAGGAAAAAAAAAAAAGAGTTTACAGGCACAACCAAAAACCAATAGGATTCAGTAATCCACATCTAACAACAGGAGGGATTTAACCAGGTTTCTGTAATTAGATGTGCGATCTTACTAGTTTTTATTCATCTCGCCACATTACAGAAGTGAAATTCGACCACCACAGTAACTACAAGAAAACACGACAAGCAAAGCGAGAAAAGATTGAACTAAAGAACAAACAAATGGAATGTAAATGGTAAGTCATAACACATAGAATAGATAATTTATTCTTTAACAGTTTTGCAGGAAGAACAATGGCTATGATCCGAGTAAAATCCTGAACAATTTGGCCATACAATGGCACAAAGGTCACAGATCCCTCCGAGGTCCTAAACATATATAGCCTCCTGTAATTTATGGATACAAATTAATAATGACTGCTAGAGCGCTAGATGCAACTTATACCAAATAATTGTGCATGAAAGCTAGCACATTGCAGGGACTCTTACTGCTGCTTACCTAGCAACTGAATCAGACAACAGAAAATGAATAGCTTTAACCGAATGTTTGCTCCCTGGACCCGAACCAAACCAAAAAAAAACAATTCCTGATTGTGTCTGTTGCTCTTCAAAATACAAGGTCTTGCTAATCCAAAGATGAGAGATCATAGTCAGTCCATGGCAAAATGCAGCAACCAACAAATTCCCAGTTGTGGCGAAATCTCTGGGCAATGGGCTGGCATTGAACCTTTTATAAATCCAAGGAAACAATAATTGGTAGTTGAAGACCCCTTGGGAAATATATACATCACCACTTGCTAACCATCTAAAAAGGGGGAAGAATATTAATGCAGGGCTCCTTTCAGGTTAAGGTTGGATATAGTGAGAATGATTAGGGAGTTGTAACAGTAGGCGAAGAATGATACTGATCTGTTACCCCGCTGTTGAATTTCCCACTAGGCTGCCTCACTTTGAAACTGCCATACTTCACAGGCTTTGGCTGAAAAAGGGTGTTGAGCATTTTCTCCAATGCCTGAGTTGTGTATTTTGCATACTTGCTGGCACTTGAATCTTGCTCAACCAATGGCCCATAATTCTGCATGTAGCTGCGGTACACAGGTACAATTGCCTGCACTATAAGCTGGCAAGTCTTCTCTCGCAGATCCTTTTCCGAGACAACCCAGCTGGACTGCTTCTTATACATTTCATCAAAAGCTTCGTTGAAAGCTTTTAATCTTTTCTTGACAAGATCACGAGCAGTAGCACGACCACCTGAAAATAGAATCAGACCTTCCCTACTTAAAAGAGCGGGAAGCTTTCCCCAGCTCTCCCTCAAGTAAATAGCAGAATAATACTCCTTGTACTGTTCATGTTCTCTTAACCAAGAATCTCCCAACAGACTCCCAAGCTTTGTGCCTTTCAAATGCTTGTATAGATGCCAGTGATTGTTCATTAAGAAAAGGCGCGACAAGACAGCATCCTCATAAGCCTTTGACCATGCCTCTAGATTTAACTCAATGGCTTTAATTAGATTCAGAAGCTCGCCAATAAGGAACCTCTCCTGGAATTTTTTATGCTTCCAACTCTGTTCAATGACCAGAACTTGAGACAAAAGTGGCTTATAATCGTCCCCAAGCAGCCTGTTAGAATAATCAGTAACAAAGCTCACCAGTCTTGGGACACTGCCATCTGAAGGAGGTGGAGTTTCCCTCTGCAATTCAACTTGACGCAAAAGTTCCCAAAAGATTTCACAAGCCCCTTCAATCACCCTCTTGATGAGTTCCCTAGTCAGATTTTGTATTTCAGCGCAGGCTGTTCCACCAAAAAGGCGGTTGAAATCCAATCTTAACTTGTTTAGAGATGCAAATATATCCAAAAGCTTCAGTAGCTTGATGGGATCCTTTTTACTCTCCGTAACAGTTTTTCCAAATTGAAGAAATGCAAGAATTCCAGCCTGGGCAGCTATTTTAGCAAAACAGCCCATCCACACATCCAGTCCTATCCTCTCAAAGACATCATTACAAAGTTTGTACTCGGCCTCAAACAGATGCTTTACGGCAAACTCCAAATGCTTACCCCACTGAGCAATGTCACCGTCTATGCTCTGCACATCATTGAACTCTGAGACTGATATCTCAAGGTAATCCAAGTTGAGTGCTTGCAGACTCGCTCTAACATTCGAACTACGAACTTCAATATAGATGGATATGCACTTTTCAAGTCTGCTATTAGCAATTAATCTCCCGAGAATCGCCTGTAACTTATGAATAACAGCCACCGGTAGTGGGGATGGGGTAATGCAGGGTTGTTCGCCAAGTGAGGATGGACAGGACATAGGCAAAGGAACACTGTTTTCCACCAAGAGCCGCCTAAATTCATTTTCCAATCTATCCAATGCAGCCTCAAGAAGCCCTCCATCAAGCCGACCTTTTTCCTCATGTCTCTGCAATTCCCTTACATACTCCAGAGCCTGCTTCAATTTCAAAATGTACCTATCATCAGCAACCTTATGGTCCTCCAAATACTCCACAATATCATCCAACCACTGAATCGCCATTCCACAATTTTCACCCAAAAACCTCAATGCCTCTTCCAGCCTCTTAAGTACCTTAAGGTACCCCGGAAGATCCGATTGGGGATCGGATAATGACTTCTCGAGCCCATGAATGGCATCAAAAACCTTAAGAACTGCAGCAGCAGGAACCACAGCTCGATTAATATGACCGCCAACAGCATCAAGTGCTTCCTTTTGTGCCCTAATTGGCCTCACTGTGGCTTCTAAAGAGGGTAATCTTTGATTAATCTCATCTAATCTAGGCTCAGCTTTCTCAAGAAATAGCCCTAGAGCTTTTGATTTCTCTAAACTAATCTTCAACGATTTCCTTGACGATATCAAATTCTCAATACCCTTATCCATTGCCACTCCGCTTTTGAAACCCTACCCCAAAAAACTCCAAAACTTACTCAAACCCACTTCTTAACTCACAAAACCCAAAAATTTTCACACTATAAAAAACTCAAAAACTGCATTCCAATATCTAGAATTGCTTTTTCTATGGGTTAATCTAACAATCAGATCAATCTGGGTTCTTATAGAAATAAGCCTTCATTGTGCTCACCGACCTTCACCAAAACCAAACCCACCAAAAACTGAAGACCTCACCCCGCCCAGAACAGTTACAACTAGCGCAACGAGAAGTCAACCAACAACTACCAACCAAACAGCCTCATGTAGGAGGGAGAGAGAGAGAGAGAGAGACTCACAGAGAATCGAAGTGAAAAGTAAATCGTTTGAGGATGAGATCGAATCGAACTCAGTGAGTTGAATCAGGGCCCCTTCGCATATACTGAATCAGTTTCGTTGGTTGTGATAGGAAGTGGGCGATTCGATCGATCGAGAGAGAGAGAAAGAAACCCTAGATGCGGTTAGTATATAGAAGTGCTTTGTACGAACACTGTTCAGTCCAAGGAGTCATGACGGTAAAATGCTCTGCTTTCTTAGTTCATTCTCTCTCATCCGTCTCAATTCCTTGAACCAACGAGCGGTTGTTTGTGGTAATAACTCACTTAAGGCTTGCATTAGAGGTTTTAGAGGTGCACTACGCTGGGGGGGGGGGGGGGGGGGAGGCGCGATAAGATTTTAGTTTCTGTTTTGACTTAATGTAGCGAGATTTTACAGATAATTGTAAAGTGTTGATGGACAATATTTCATACGTAAAGTGGTATATTTGTATATTTATTCTTGAGTACCAAAAAGAAGTTATTTGAGCCGATTTGTCACTTTGGGAAGAACATTTCAAAACTTGATTCAAATTTTTTATTTAATTTTAAGTCAATATTTGAATAAAAAATTTGATTTAATACAAAATATTTCAATAGAAAAATTCAAATTTAAAATATAATTATTAAATTTTAAAAGAGATTGAAATTGAACAATTATCGAAAAAAATTAAAAAATTAGTGATTTGAGTAATGTTTGAGTATTTCTTGATTTGATATGAGTTTGAGTATAACATTAAAAAATATTTTTAGGGATCTTTTTATCCAAAATTAAATTTGAGTTTAAAAAATGGTAAGGATTGGAGACGCTCTAAAACCATCTCTAAAAGAAAACTCAAACCCCTACTAAAATTTGAGGGGAAAAAAATAAAAAAATTTGATTTAGTATAGACCTCTCCAATGGAGAAATTCAAATTTAAAGGAAGAGCAACTCAAATTTAAATGAGGGAAAAATATAATTATTTGATCTTTAAAGGAGGGTGAAATCTCACAATTAATGATTGGGAACTCAAGCGATAGGTACAAAGTCAGACACTTTTAATGCGAGAGGTCCATCCTGGACACTTTTAATGTGAAAGATCCATAAAATACACAGTTGACAAAAATATCCTTCATAAAAAAAGTTAATTCCACTATATTCCCCCACCACCAATCCCCACAGATAGCGAACTACCGAATAGTAAATTGCAAGACGGTAAACTGCACGACAATTAATTCAATGACAATGAACTAAAAATTTAATGTATTTTGCTATATATTGTGGATGAAAGTTTATTGTTATATAAGAACTGAATTTGCTAGTTCATTGTCAAGTAGTTTACTATTGAGTGGATAATTCACAATTAATTAATGATATAATTGGTACAAATAAGCATAAAGATGATGAAAACAAAATTGATAAAATATTTGGATCAAAAATTTTTAATCAATTTAAAGTCATACTTCGGATAAAAAAAATGGATAATTGATTGTGAGTACCTTTCGTATAACTTATTTAGCTTTAAGTATTACTTTTAAACTTATACTCCATTAAGTCATCTTTTTCATCAAATAGTTACTAATAAGTACACATTTTAAAACATTTCAAATTTTTTTTGAAATGTATCTCATAATTACCCTTACCATAAATATTGCCTATCATTGTTAATTTCAATGTTTTTAAATATAACAACTCCTAACTTAAAAATTGTGCTAGCATTAAAATTATTTTTCTACACACACACACACACATATATATATAGTAACATTAAACAGTAACACACTCAACAAAAAAATAGTAACATCAAAAAGTAACATGCTCAATAAAAAATTTAATTAAAAATTTAATCAATGCATTTATTCTGTTGTGGGAGTGTCACTCTATTACAATGATTAAATATTTATTAAGCATGTTACTGTTTAATGTTACTATTTTTTTGTTTATCTTGTTACTGTTTGATGTTACTATTTTTTTGTTGAGCATGTTACTGTTTAATATATATATATTGATAGGAACATAATTTTAATGCTAGCACAATTTTCAAGATCTGAGTTATTAATACTAATACAATTCCCAATTTAGGAATTGTTAGTTTTTAAAACAAGTTTTGACTAAATATAACTATTGAGGGTATTTTGAATAATGTAGATCAAAATGGACATATCCCCAAATAAATTTTTTGAGTCTACTTAAGCCCAAATAAGTCTACAAAAAAGGATCGGCCTCCCTGAGCCCCAAAAAAGTTTTTCAAACCAAATCAAATATGAAGCCCAAGTGCTTTCTATGCTTTTTCCGGTGAGCCCAACAAGTCTAGGCCTAGTTCAAGCCTCAGCCCATTATAGGCCCATCATCAAATGTTTTTCAACTTTCTAATGCAAATCCCAAAAAGAGGCCCTTAATCGACTGTTTATAGTCCTAAAAAATGGCGGCATCATCTATTAACTAATTACAGTATAGAGACAATTTCACAGAGAGAGATGCAAGTTTTCGGAGGCAATTGATGTGGCTATTTTATTCTTCAAAATTTTGACCGTCGGATCTTCATCCTCGTCATCGGCCTCCTCTTACCAATCCACTGCTCATTCTCTACAAATTTCTCTGACCTTCAAAGTTGAGACAAATCCATTCTCTCCAGTGATCTTGCTGATCTAGATCTCAGGTCAACGGTGCTGAGAGATTCATATCCACCCTCACAGAACTAGATGCTGAATTGACAAAATAATTTGGGGGAGAGAGAGTGTGTCATGGCGGTGGCTAGGGTTTGGAGTCTTTGGATTCATTGAATTGAGCTGTGTTGGATGACTTTTAGTTGGATAAAATGCAAGATACAAGGGGTAATATTATCATATTAAAAAAAGAGAAAATTAGTTTGAACCTTTCGCCTTAAAAATTTAGCTGAGTTGGACCTTACACCTTAAAAATTATAAATCTGTACTTATTTACAAATTAGGTACCAACTTTGTAGTTTTTAACAATTTTCACTTAAAGATTTGGGTATAAATTTGAGTCTCCCTTGATTTGAGTAAAAAAAAAAGTCTTTCTTCATTTGATATGAGTATAAGTCTAGTATTGAAGAAGGTTTTTTAGGGTTTTTTACCCAAATTTAAATTTGGGTTTAAAAGAATGCAAGGATTGGAGATGCGAAGAAATAGAACCTTAAAAAATAAAATGGCTTTTTTTTTTTTATTAAAAATTATCGTTTCCTAACTAGCCCTATTCATTAAATATTATAAATTTTTAGCGAAAAAAAATTAATATTTAGACCAAATTCGATGGTTTAATATATTGCACCGATTGAATTGAAAACGGATTATATCTAATATTAGAACTCATAAATAATACAATTGATGAGCCTAGATCCAACTGGGTCAGGCCCAATTCGTGCGTTAAAACCCATATAGTTAAAAGATAAATCAGGCTTAGTTTATGACCTCAGCTCAGTAAAAAGTTCAAGAGACCTAAGAAGGTCAACGCACGTGGGGAGCAATCATCGGGATAGTCATTACCCCAAGATAGCGCATATCCTTAATTGTAACTATCCTCCCCATAAGACTAGTAGACTGACCTTCACGTCGTCGTCTCAACTAAGGCTCTGTGCCTATAAATTGTAAGTCCCCTACACATGGGGATAGGACATACACACCATAACTTGAGCTTACCCTTGTTTTTTCTCTCTTTCTCTCTCTATCTATCTCTCTCTCTCTCCTTCTCTCACCTACTACTTTATTCTCTCATTAATAAAGTTCTCTAGCCACCGTTGCCATCTTTAGTGGTTAGGTTGCTTGGGCCCAACCACCCAATCTTTGTCTTTTACTATTAATTGCTCCATTAATTACCTTGCATCATATACTCGACTGATTTGATTGTGTATAACTTGTTTTGCGCATCACCAGTTTAGCACTGTCTGTGGCAACTGAATAAAATTTTTTACTATCTGTCCTTATTTTCTCCATGGAAATTACTACTAGGTCAATGAATTACCAATTGGGGGATCACGACCCAATGCGTCAGGAGGAGGTCCCGACTCCTCTTTCGGAACCCTTTACCGCTATAAATCCTATGGTTGAGCAACAACTCTTGGAGACGACGAAGCTGCTAGTGAGTCAAAATTGACAGATTCTCCAATTGAAGCTCACCTTAGGAGGGGTCATGCCCAGCCCGTAAGGGGGGAGGCTTCACAGCCTATCCACCTAGGTTGCACAACCTATCCACCTAGGGTACCATAGCCTATCCATCCATGTAGCGCCCGGGTGCCTCCCAGAGTCAAGGAGTCCCTCCTCAGCACCCAGGCGCCCTACATGCTCCTCTTCCTCATGTCCTGGCTCCATTGTCACACGTTGTCGACCCTCATGGGCAGGAGGATGAGGAGGAGAACCTATATGTGGACCACAAAAGCTACTTCACTGATCAGACCGAGGGTGTCCCTAACCAATTAGATGAGAAAATTAAGGAGGTGCAAAACCATCTTCATGATGCCCTCAATGCCATTAAGGCGTGGGCGCTAGAAATAATGGACTACCTGGTAAGGCAAGCTAACACTCATTTTGTGGTGGATGTTGTCAACTACCCTTTACTCTCAAAATTCAAGATGCCTATCGTAGAAATCTTCAATGGTAAGAAAGATCTCTCGATCACCTGGACACGTATAAATCCCTGAT